GGTAAGGTTGCGTCAAGGTAAAGGCCATCAAGAAAACATAGTACCATGCAAGTCCTACCATAATGTGATCATGACAATAAAGTAAGCACTAGCATTTCTATATTAGTCATGTGTAATAGGTGCTACGAGATTGGGTGGGATGTGGCACCTTCAGTGTAGTCGTCTCCGTACTCCTCACGGTACTCATGATCCTCGTCCGTCCGGTTCTCCTCCGAGTCTGCAAACGACCGCATTATAGTCGTGTTAGCGACGTCTATAGAATAGCACAAAGAAGCAATGAAAATTCAAAAGAGCCAAATGCACTCAAACATGGGTCCATTGCATAGAGCTCGATTTTAGATGAATTTTGGTCCTAGTTTTGTATTTTTCTGAGGTCATATGAATTAGTTATGAATTTCTGAAGATTAAATCCATTTCTGAAAATGAAAAAGGCTGAATTAATCCTGGGCTGACACGTGTCATGCTGGGGTTGGTCCACGTGGCTTGCTGACGTCAGCATCACGGTTCCGAGCTGACAGGTGGGGTCCAGCTGACGTCAGCATGACGTCATCAACGTCATCCACACCGACAGGTGGGGCCAGAGGTTATTGGGTCACTGACAGGTGGGTCCGTTCAAAGTCAACGGCGAGTCAACGGTCAACGGTCTTCGGTCAACGGTCAAGGTCACTGACGTGTGGGGCCAGGGCTGCTGACGTCAGCAGATGATGTCATAGTGACGTCAGCATGACGTCACCTTGGCTGTGCTGGCTTTTGACATGTGGGTCCCGCGTGACGTCGGCATGATGTCACCATCTGACGTGTGGGTCCAGAGTGTCTATGCCGCTGACATGTGGGGCCAGGTCAACGGTCAACGTTGACTAGTTAACGGTCAACACGGATTGGGTCTCAAACGGGCTCCGGCGGGCTTCGGGTTGGGCCGGTCTAGGCCGGGCCAGGCCGGACACGTGGCAAGCTGTGGCGTTGCCACGTCACGGCCGTGGGCCTCTACTGGGCTTCGTCCATAGCTCGCAAGCGTGGGCGTGGCTCACGGTGGACCAGGTGGTGCTGGTCCATGGACCTAAGGCAGGGTCCCTGGTGGACCAAGTCCACCATCATTTCCCTCGGCTCGGCTCTTGTGCACCGGGTGCAAGGCTGCGCTGCTCAACTCGCCCCTCCTCTGTTTCTCCCACGGCGCGCTCCCGCCGGCGACGTACTCACCGACGAGCTTCCACAGCAGTGCTAGCGCCCAATTGACGTGGGGAAAAGCACCGTCAGGCTTCGGCGACTGCGATGGTGGGGTCGGGGCGACGGCTAGGACTCCCTAGGACCCTGGCCATGGTGGTTGGCGGTTCGGCGGTGCCCGCCGACGGTGAAGTCGCCCGTGCAGGCTTCCTGGTGTCTCGGCTGGGCGGGTAAAGGCTTCAGCGGTTCCGTGGGAGCATGGCGAGGGCGTCCAGTGCTCAAGGCGGGGCTCGGATTCTCATGAGGCCGGTAGGGGTTTCCCGGCGGCCACGGCGGCAGTCCTCTGGACACGACGGCGACGTCGGTGAGGTGGCCACGGCCTCGGAGAGGCGTATCGGTGGTGCGTGTGAGCTTCACGAGGCTCCAGTGATCAGGACGGGCGAGTCAAGGAGACGCCAGGCACCCCAGCGAACTTGGCCATGGTGGAGGTGCACGGCGGAACTCCGGCCGGTGGTTCGGTGCTCGTGGCCGAGGCACTACGGTCGGCTATCGATGCCTCGGTCTATGCAGCTATCCACCAGACGTCACTATGATCCTCTTTGGCTGTGTTCTAGTCTGGCGAGGCGGCCGTGTGTGCCAGCGGTGGCCGTGCCATGGCGGCGGCGTCGTGAGCGTGGTGTGCGCACGCTTCGATTCGGCGTCCGTGGGGCTGGGAGATGGTCGCGGGTGTGCGCGCGAGTGTGCCGTGCGTGTGTACCTAGTGGCCGGAGATGGCCTTGGCCTACGCGCTCACGATGTGGAGCGCCATGGCCGACACACAGAAGGTCCGTGGTGGAAGCGGGGAGAGGCGGAAGGCTCACCGTAGGTGTTGAGGGCGAGAGGATAGCGGTGCAGTGAAGAGTCGAGGCCGTGTAGCTCCGGAAGCCGTGCCATGCAGTGTCGTCCACTCCGGCTCCGGTGATCTCCCGGTCTTCCTCCCGGCAGCGGCTCCGGTGTTTCCTTTCCCCCCCCTTCTTCCTCTCCTCCCTCTTCTCTCTTGGCTCGGGTGTGCTGTGGACGGCCACAAGGTGGCGGCGGGGGCAGGCAGAGAGCGCTAGGCAACCGAGGGTCGTGGCTTTATAGCCGAGCTTCATGCTCCCATGACGGACGGCGATCGAGTGGTGGAGACGTGTTCGGTGGCATCCAATGGCTCGCGTCTTGGTGGCGTAGGGCGTGGCGCAGAAGGGAGAGACAGGCCATGCCCGAAGCGTGACCTCGGCCCGCCTCGCCATCATTGCGGCGGCGGCCGGCGCGAGGTGGTTGAGGCGTGGGTGAGGAAGACGACACTGTGCTGGAGTGTGGCTGACGCGTGGGGCCAGTGGTGGTAGTGGCGGTTGGTGGTAATCAAGCTGTTGCATGGTGAGCAGCAATGACATCCTGGTCGGCTCATTTGGGCAGCGCGGCGTCTGTGTGTTGGGCTGGTTAGGGCTTGGTCGGTGGGGCAGCGAAAGCGGCAAATTGGCCGGGAGGCCCACTTCTTCTTTTCCTTTTCTATTTTTTTCATTTTTTTCCATTGTTTGAATTCAAATTTGGTTTGAAATTTGAATTCCAAATTGGTGCAGCTTACTCATTGGAGTTTTAGATATGGGGCCCACAACATTCTTATTTAATTATTAGGAATTTATTTAGCTATTTTGTATAACAAAAATAGATGTAGTTTTGGTTATACAAAAATAAAAATTGTTTTCCTTTTAAGCCTTTATGCTTTTGATTTGATTAATAATTATTTTATGGTTTATTATTTTAATGGAGTGGTTAAGCATAACATAAAGCAAATGAAAATCCAAATCATAATTTGAGTTAACAATGTATGCAACACTTTGTTTGTCAGAAATTAAATAACATAATCAACAATTGACATGCCATGCTTATGTGTTGACTTGGGTTGGGTTACTTCTAATGCAACACTTAGGGTTGGCTCCTACAATGTCACTCATCATCACATGGGGTTTTAAAGAAAAATTTTGTAGTTGTGATTTCTGGTGTATGGATTTTTGGGTTGTTACAGGGCAGCCGCCGTGCGTGGCGCGGAATGCTGTGCAATGGCAAAGGCGCGGCGTGCGCAGGCAGCACTGGCAGCCAAGCTTGCCAGCGCGCATAAGAAAGCTGAGCGGAGCGCTTGAGGCGGGCGTCTTGAGTCTTGGCGTGTGTGTGGGCGGGGTGGTGGGCGTGGCGGGCGGGCGGGTCAGCGAGCCTTTAGCCGGGCTGCGCGAGCGCTACAGGCGTGGCGCGTCAATGTCGCGCCATGATGCGTGGCGCGTCACCGCCGCGCCAAGATCGGTGGCGCGGCAGACCCTACCACGTCACCGGTCAGCGCACCGGTCGTCGCCACGTCATCCCTCTCGCCGCACCACCATGCATGGCGCGGCACAGGCGTTTCGCCGCGCCAGGAAATAGACGCGGGCAAAAGTGTTAGTGTTTGAAAAAAAAATTAAAACGATGTTAAATTTAAAATTAGTTTACAAAAAGTGTTTAAAATAAAAATAAAAAATCTGAGAAGGCAACTTCTATGAGTTGTTTCAAACAGGCCCTTATCGTAGTATGGCCCTCTGTTAGGTGTCAGCTGACAAGCTTTCACCAGCAGAGAGTTAAGGGGCACGGGCCAGCTGGATTAATTCATGTATCCATCTTCCACTAACAAATGGAAGAGGAAGACGAGTTTCTTGTTGATATCTTATTCCATCTGATTCTGAGCCCATTTTTGAAGGAAAAACCGGCAACCATCTTGGGTTCTTCCTGCTTGTTTGACGTTCCGGATGGCCAGTCAGCCCAGTCACAACTCTCAGCCACCTTTCTTGGCAACTTGCGATCCCTGAACCGGGACATGGTATTGCGGTAAGATGGGAGGTTGCTATACCTCTCGCTGACATGACCTCTAGTTCCGCAACGCGACATGCCAACACGAGGCACGACATGATATTACGACGCCTTGTTACCACTATAAGCTTGAATTCAGATAAGCAACATTGATGCCATAATAAAAAAGGTAAAAACATATGCAAACACCTTGCTTTCAGTTCAGAAAAAAAAAAAGAGACGTCGTTGATATCCTATGTCTCGTGGTTAGGAACAAACAAGAGCACGAAAGTTTCAGCTAACAGAAGCCTGCCGCCAACCCAACCGTCAGGGCAAGCAAGCAATTGTTGTGTTACTTTCAGATCTACCAGCTAGTGGCCAAAAAAAGTGGCACATCGCTCTCCAAAGGGTGCACATGTCCAATAAAGTTAAAAGCGGCACCCATCACTCCAGTAGCGTGCGGCTTCAGCTGGAAGCTCAGCTCAGGTCTGAAGCCTCCAGAATTCAATCCGCTGAAGATGCAGCGCAGCCATCAGCATGATATAGCACCACTCATCTTTTTGCTTGTTTCATTAGTAGCACATGAATGAATTGAATGAATGAAAAGGAGAAACGTCTGAAGAGACGAGACCTTCCCAACTTTACCAGAATTAATTGTTAATTAGTCAGGTTACTACTATTATTGATTAAAATTTCAAGAGGCCACCAGATCAGCTAGAGAGTAGAGCGAGACGCTTCTTCGCAAAGCTTCGGCCCTCCGTTGCATTGCAGCTCTCATGGCGACACCAACCACCACACCACAAATATGCTACGTGTCTTGCAAGCAAAACCAGCATCTAAAGCCACTCGCTGCAGCAGCCACCACTGTATTTCTCAGCTTTTCTGTCATATACACTTTGCTAAATCTGTGCCCCTCCACGGACACCTCTAAGCATGTAATGTACAACTGCGCACAGCTGAATTCAGCCCAGCAATATCTGCTCTGAGTTTGTCAGGTCCTTGAGATGGGATCACTCAAGATGACTGAAAAAGCTCCCGGTGCTGCGCTGCCAGAGTCTTCATGTGCCTACTTGCTTCAAGAACTCAAGGTACACAAAGTTTTTCAACAACAACAAAAAAATATATATATCTCTGTTCAGTTCTAGCTGAAATGCTTACTAAACTCTGCATGGTGCTTAGATGATATGGGATGAAGTTGGGCAAGACCAAAATGAAAGGGAAAGAATACTGGAAGAGCTTGAGCAGGAATGCCAAGAAGTTTACAGAAGAAAAGTAAATAGTGCCAATATGTCTCGGATTCACCTGCATCAAGCTTTGGCTGAATCTGAGGCTGAATTTACCAACCTGTTGCTATCCCTTGGAGAAAGATCATTCCCAGGACGAGTAAACATCCAAATCTTGCGGGTCTCATCATTTATCCATATCTAACAAGCAACGGTTGGAAACTAACCTGAAAACCATTTCTGCAGCCTGAAAAAATGGCAGGCACTCTAAAGGAGCAGCTGAATTCCATTACACCCGCTCTACAAGAAATGCAGATGAGGAAGGAAGTCAGAGTGAAGCAGTTCATGGAGGTTCAAACTGAAATACACAGAATTGCTTCTGAAATTGCAGGACGCTTAGGGAATGAAGTTGTCACTGTGAACGAAGAAGATCTGTCACTAAAGAAACTCGAGGAGTTCCAAAGCGAATTGCAAAGACTGAAAAGAGAAAAGGTACACATGCCGCCTTCACTTGATGATAAACATGTACTATCATAAACATTTTATAACACTCCTGGATCTGATTTCAGAATTTTATTTTCTCCAGAGTGATCGCCTCTGCAAAGTGGAAGAATACAAAGTTCTAATTCACAATTTTGCAAAAGTAATGGGAATGGATCCTTCAAAGATACTTGCTAATGTTCACCCAAGGTTGCTAGATGGACCAAATGAGCAACAGACGAAGAATATCAGTGATGACATCCTCAACAAGCTCAATATGACTGTTCAGCAGCTAAAAGAAGAGAAGAGCAATAGAAGGGAAAAGGTGATCTGTCATCCTTCTCGGTACCAACCGGTTGTAGCCAGTAGCCCCATTTCACTTGGTCACAGTGACAGCATGAAAAACAGAGGATACATTCAGGTTATATAAAACAAGCTAATAGCATACTTAGTTCAAGAATAGCATAAAGCAAAATTGCATAATGCATCCAGAAGATACTTCATTGGTCTTCTTACAAAAATTATCACCTTTGAACCCATTAATAATGTTAGCATTAGCAAGTTATTCTTGTTGCTAGTTCTAACAGGAAATATACCATGTGAATATTCAAGAAAAAGTGAGAGAATCTTGAACTGCATTAGTATTATTACTAAAGCAGGTATTATTTTGTAGCTCCAAAACCTTGTAAAAGCATTAACAAACTTATGGAATACTCTGGATACTACTATGGAGGAGCGTCAACCATATGGGCAAATTAAGGTACTAGCAATGACTTCAGTAAATGGTATGTTAGGTCCTGGAAGCCTCACACTTGAGACAATTCAACAGGTAAAGACCAGAGATTAAACTTCAAAGCAGATATGAGTTATGTCAGACAAGTAACTGTCTTGATGCTGATAGGTTATTAGTTTTACCATACTGAATGAAACAGGTTGAATCTGAAGTTCAGCGTCTGAATCAGTTGAAGGCAAGCAAAATGAAAGAGCTATTCCTAAAAAAGAGAGCAGAAGTCGACGAAATTTGCAAGAAATCACACATGGACATGCCTCATCAAACAGAAATGGACAAAATAATGAATCTGATAATGTCAGGTGCGTTCGGCACAGTTATATGCCATTATCTTTGTTTCAGTGATGAAGTATATTTACCAGTCTCCAATGTGTTGACTAATATAACTATTTGGGGAATAAATGAACAGGAGATGTGGTCCATGATGATCTATTAAATACAATGGATGAATATATATACAAAGCAAAAGAGGAGGCCACAAGCCGGAAAGACATAATGGATAAGGTTGAAAAATGGATGGTTTCATGTGATGAAGAGCGATGGCTAGAAGAATACAGCAGGGTGCACTAGCTGCCTGATGACCATAGTCATAGACATTGCCTTATCTAGAAGTATACTTTTTACTAAGTTGATTATAATTTTCTACAGGATGAACGAAGGTACTCAATAAGCAAAGGAGCGCACAAGCACTTGAAAAGGGCAGAGCGTGCTCGAATTATAGTTAACAAAATTCCAGGTATGTATCATATCTACAGAGTAAAATGGAAACTGAAATGCCACATATATTTACTAGAAATTGTGTAGGCTTGGTAGAACAGTTAATGGCCAAGACACAATTCTGGGAACAGGAGAGGAACAAGATCTTCTACTATGATGAGGTGCGACCTCATGAACTGCAAACATAATCACCTGATCTGAAATCATCCTTTCAAAATTTGGATTTTAACTTGTCATAAATATTTATCCTAGACTGACCTAGACCACCCATGTTTTCTTTTAAAAAACTGTAAATAGTAACTTCTTTTATGGCTTCAGCCCATATTTGAACTATCAAATATAAACATGATCTATAATTTTATATTATTTTCATTTAATTACAAAGATATGATTAATATATCTTAGAAAAATCAATTAAACTTTCATACTTCAGCGATGCCAAAATACTGAACAAATGTAACAATTTTGGTATTGTAGTGGCACATAGAAGCATTTTAAATTAGCACCTTTATAACTTATGGATAGAGAGGCTAGGTATTTTTGGAAGGGCAGTCACTGGATAAGGTGGCAGCAAGTAAACGTTAGTGTTAGACTAGCGCCTATAGGGCTGGCCATGGACCTAGGTGCCCACGCCTGGTGGCTGAGCTGCCTTTGGTATTATAGTAGTTGATCTCCCAGATTAGGCAAGGATCTCCGTTGATTGGGTGTGTTCTATAAACCCTACACCGATCCTTGCCTATATATGTTGTACCCCCTTGTACACATTGAATCAATCTACTATTTTGTGTGCCATATTGACTCACAGTTAGCTTCATCAATTCAACCTTCTCCTGTAAAGCAACCTTGTGAATATGCTTATTTGCAACAGCAAACTGAATAACAGAATAAATTATGTATGCAACATTAATTAGAGGTAATCAAGTAAAAACAAAAACTAAAGAGAGTAGAAAGTACAAAAAAGATAGGCCACTAAAAACCTGAAGGGAAGCTGTATGGTCATTTCTTATAGTTTGTAACTATGCTACAGCATCATTGACAACAGCATTTTTCCAAGGCCATCATCTGAGGGTATTAAGTACAATAACGAATGCTCCCTCCATTACAAATTATAGTTCACTATAGCTTTGTCCTAAATCAAATTTCTCTAACTTAAGACAATTTTTAGACAAATATATTAACATCTACAAGTTTAAATAAATGCACTATCAAGGCATATTTCATGGAGAATTTAATGAAATTAATTTGATGTTGTAGATGTTGGGTGCATTTTTCTATATACTTGATGACAGTTAGAGATTTCACTTAGGACAAAGCTAGTTTGGAACAGAGGTATTAGAATAGTTGGGTCTTGAAAGCAAAAGTGACAGTGAAGAGAACATACTTGTAGGCTGGTGCTAAGAAGTACTAAGAAGTATATTTTGCAGACAGCAGGGCATGGAAGAAATGGTATCATGTTCCAACCGGCAAAACTATATATTCCATTCCTGTACATAGAAAAACAAGCAAGAGGCAGCTTACTAGGACAAACCTATTCCTTAGCATTAAAACGTGGCGGTTTAAAAAAAGAATCAGAAATTATTGGAGGACAATGCATGAGGGATACATGTTGCCACTGCAAAGTCAAATCGATAAGAGTAAAAGACTACACTCAACTATCAAAAGTCAAGCAAAACCAGGGTGAGAGCCTAAGCAAGTATCTATACAAGAAACAATTAACAAAATGATTGTGATTCTCAAAGGAAAAATGCAAAATACTGCACTACCAAACAGATCTTATGTTACCATAAACCAATAATTAATTTTTAAAAATAGTATTCTATAAATAGCCATACAGACACCACAAAATAGTACTGGTAAATAAATTAACATATGCAGTAATTCATAAGTAAACATTGCACAAACGACCTAATAAAAAAAATACTGAGGTCTGTATTTGCATGGTTAACTCTTTAGTCTTTACCTGTAAAAACAACCTTCACAGCAAATTTCTTGTATGGGAACCATAATTTGGAACATTTCGTTAAAAAAAATAAAATCAAATAGGCATGAAGGTCAGCTAGATTGATTATCAAGTACTGATTCCAAATGATAGAAAGTCTTAATTTCTTGAACAAAACTACTAACATAAGCTTTTGCAGCTCCCGCTTCTGGCAATGCTGAAAGACTACATGTTCACACTCAAAGAAAAAGAAGAAGAAAAATACAGGCAACGGGTGAGTAGTTATTAGTCAACTGGTTGATGGTACAGGGAATCACATAATCTGGCTCATACAGGGGTGCTCAAATAAGGGGGTTGCTCTAGGAATTTAGTTCAAAGTTGAACTAAATCCTAAGGATTTGGATTCCAACCCCCCTTATCCAAACAGTATCTAAGAATAGAAACCTACTATCAGTCTGGATGACATTGATTTCATAAACATTTGTTTACAGGAGAATAAAAAGATACAGACTCTACTTGTAAAGAGGCATGAGAATTCAATAATGTTAAGGCCCAACACAAGCTTCAGTCGTCCATCAAGCAGAGGCTTCAATACGAGTCCTGGCTCCACATCCATTTGGAACAGCCAAGTTTCTGCCAAAGTGCAACTGCCTGACTCAGAGAACTCCCCAGCTGAAAAAGATATGCGTGCAAAAAGAATTAGGAACAGAGGTATGCAGGGCGTGTTGGGAAATAACAGAAGCTGTTCAATCTCTCATGAAGATAAAGCAGAAGTCTCCACAGTGAAGCAAGGCCTTTCGCCAATTTAATTTTATTTTCCACTTTAAATTTCTAAATTTGTCTGCCTAACGTGAAGTTGCAACAACCCCCTTAAGCTATTAGAAAAGTGAAGAGAAGTATGTTTGTATGCAGCTTATACCATATTCATATATTTATTGATGTATGATTCAGTAAAATATGTTATTTTAGCTGTTTTGGACTTCCGGTGCCGAAGTACTAACAGAGATCATCAAATGAAAAGCACAAAAAGGAAAGGTGACTTACCATGTTAGCGGAACAATTCTACGATGTCTGGCAGCATATCAATCACTTCCTTGCAGAGGGTGTGAAAGACGCCAATTAAGATGTGTACGCCCACTTCTATTATGATATAAAACCTGCCAAGCCAAAAGTCAATGAGAGAACCGGCTAAACAAAAAAACAAAGCAAACACTCGTGGTTCTGCCCATTCATAAATGGAAATAATTTATCATACATCAGTCACAGTCCTTCCCTCCTCAGGGGCCACATTAGTTAGTTATGCACATCAAGGCGAGAACTCATACATATGTATAATGAATATGAATATGCCAATAGTATCTTCAAACCATGCCCAATTCACATAACCACTAACCAAGCTATTTTACATTTTTACATTTTTTATTTCTTACTTCCTCCGTCCCAAATTATAAGACGTTTTGGCAATTCTAGATTCATGTTTGAATAGGAGTACTTGGAAAGCAGCTATTGAAGTGCCTGAACCGTGACTTGGGGCTCTTTGTGGGTTTCAACTCTAGCCTACCCCAACTTGCTTGGGACTGAAAGGCTATGTTGTTGTTTTTGTTGGCAATTCTAGATTCATAGCTTTTACTATGTATCAAGACATAACATATATCTAGGTGCGTAGCAAAAGCTATGAACCTAGAAAAGCCAAAATGTCTTATAGTTTGGAACAGAGGGAGTACTATTCAGTAAACCACATCATCCTCACTAATTGTGTTTTGCTAGGCAATTTTGGTATAATTTACTGGCCTCTCCTGGAACTGAGCGCATTGTACCTAGAAGGAACAAGAGCTTCACTGATTGGCGGAGAAAAGCAAACAAAAAGATTTGAACAGTATGGTGATCCTGGAAGCATGGGCCTTGTGGCTTAACAGGAAAAGAGGAGTTTTTGACAGTGCAACTCCTTCCCTAGCAACAGCACAGCATTCCTTCAAAGAGGAATTGAGTCTTGCTGCTTCACTAGTGCTCACTGCTCAAAAACTTCAGAAGCTATTTTTTGGTTGTGGAGAGATGCTAGTGTAAGTGGCTAGAAAGGTCGGGTCATTTCTTCCTTGTAACAAGGATTTTGAGTGCCGTGTGGTGTTTTTTTTTCCTTGCAACCTTCTCTTGTCTCACAGGTGAGGCATAGGGGTTGCCTTTTATGGGTTTTTATCCCCTTTCTTTCTCTCTATAATATAAAGATACGCAGCTCTTCAGTGTGTTTGAGAAAAAAAAAGTTAACCACATCAATAATAAGATGTATTGCATTTCTACTGATTTCAGTTGTTGTAGACCAACAAAACAATCCAAACAATACCTCTTCCAGAATGACATAAGCAACATAAGAAACTAAAAGGCCAAATAAGCAACTCACAACTTTCTGATCACTTCCTCCTGTGCAGAGGTATTCGTCATTAGGGGCTACAGCAACCTGGGATTTATACCATGAAAAATCAATAGCAAAAGAGGTAAGCTGAAGAGCCCCAGAAGTAGAATATCACAATATAGGCTCACCGCATTAGCACATCGAGTATGAGCGACGATATGTCTGACACAAGGTTGACCTAGAGTAACATCCCACATTCCAACACTAAAAGCAGAGTAAATTAGTAGTTAAGCATTTTCATAACTTAAATGCAGATTGATGAAAATGACACAATGTGTATGTCATTGGGCTAATTACTCACCTGCCATCACCACTTACAGTGACAAGTACAGGTTCATTATGCAGCCACTGTGTGGCATTTACCCCCTGATCACCCTTGTCAACATGGCTGAACAGACAACAGAGAAGATACTCAAAGCCTATACAAAGGTGGATAACAAAACAAAAGGATGCTACATTGGAAGACAATGAACAGAGTACTATTTAGATTTTATAGCCACAATCTGCAAACCATGTGGTAGGAAACAATGAAGACAGGACATGTCCGTAGTATTATCAGTGGTTATCAAGTGGTCAAACAACACCACATTTAGTCTCAACCAGAGGGTATTAGCAGGGGTTACCAGTAACCTAGTGGACAAACAACAACAAAGACTTGTAGTCCCGAGCAGGTGGAGTAGGCTAGTGATGAAACCCAACAAAAGCCACCAAGAAAGAAGGTATAAAACTGAAACTAGCAATAGTCATCATAGTAAAAGGGATACGCACACCAGACCATTCTAAGCTTTGCCTAGTTTTTTTTTTTCAAAATATTTAGATTTGACATGAGAAAACAATATTAT